CTGAGCCAACAGCTGGCTGGGCGTTCATTGTTCTGCAGACTCTGGCCCTGGGGTGCCTCGGTCCCAGGCCTCCAGAGGACTGTGTGGGCCAAGACAAAATAAGCCCACGAGCATACTGGAGCCGACTAAGCAGTGTCCTGACAGCCAGCGGGTGATCAGACGGGCACTGGGGCCTGGCGTGCCATGGCCCTGCCGACAAGAGCCCTGACCTGGCACTGACCCCTCTCTCCAGAGTCCCTGCCAGCACCGTCGGCCCCAAGGGTTCTGAATCCGCAGCAGCAGGATGTCCTGGCCGGCCTGTCCCCGGAGCTCCTGCAGGTCCGAGACGATGAAGGCGTGAAACTCCCCCAGCTCCCTGGCACCTGCATGAGGAGCAGCTCAGGCACTCGCAGGAAGGGCGCCGGGCCCCAGGCAGAGTGGAGGGGCCTGTCTCCCTCTCTGGGAGCTGCTCGGCCCCTAAGCTGGGGCCACACAGCAGCACCTTCCTAACAGCGAGCAGTGGCCACGGGGAGGCCCGAGGCCCGCACCCGGCTCGCCAGCCACTCGGGCCTGGTGCTGGGCAAGTCCTGCCCTTTCCTGGCCTCAGGCGTCACCTGTCCACATGAGTACAGGCCACCTGGCCTAGGACCAGTTCTCCAACATGCTGCTACTGAGCATAGCAGTCCGGCCAAGAGTCGAGAGCACGTCAAGGTGGAGCCAGCGTGGACGGGAGACAACTGGGCAGTGCTGACCAGAAGCCAACCCCAAGGGAGGCCTGGAGGCCTACTAGGGAAGGCCAGACCTGGTTGGAGACCTTGAGACAGAGAGACGTCACAGCAGAGGGCCCAGGTGAAAGAGGAAGGTGGCCCAGAAAGGACTCCCAGGGTGACTCCAGTACTCTGGCTGGTGTGACACTGCAGGCACCCGCTGGCATCCTGTCTGTGTCTGGGCCACTTTAGTGCGCACCCCCAGCAGCCACACGGCTTTCCCTGGGGGCTGTCCCTAAGCCTGAAGTGCCAGTGGTTAGTCCCCACCATGGGGGCAGCCCCAGACCCACAGCCCACATGAGCTGGCACTACACGGGACGGCCCCCAGCGTGGCCCGGGGACAGCGGAGTACAGACCCCGGGCCTCCCCTCCCACAGGCCCTAAGCCCTCCCTGTCTGCGTGTGCCCGCCCTCCTGAGTGTTGGGCAGTGCCGCTGCCAACCTGCTTCAGTGCACTGTGACCTTCTCATCCTGAGAGGCGACGATGCTTTTAAACACGAGAAAACCACACCCAGGAAGATGCTCACTGCAACGTACTTATGGTTGGGAGAGACTGGAGGGACGAAGCTTCGATGTCAGAACTGAGACAGCACAGCAGGACCCCCGACGAAAGGCGGCACGGCAGGCACATGTGAGCACGGAGGGGGCGTGTGAGCACGGACAGGCACATGTGAGCACGAAGGGGGCGTGTGTACGGAGGGGGTGTGTGAGCACAGACAGGCACATGTGAGCACAGAGTAGGGTGTGTACGGAGGGGATGTGTGAGCACGGACAGGCACATGTGAGCACGGAGTAGGGTGTGTACAGAGGGGGTGTGTGAGCATGGACAGGCACATGTGAGCACGGAGTAGGGTGTGTACGGAGGGGGTGTGTGAGCACGGACAGGCACATGTGAGCACGGAGGGGGCGTGTACAGAGGGGGTGTGTGAGAACGGACAGGCACATGTGAGCACGGAGTAGGGTGTGTACGGAGAGGGTGTGTGAGCTTGGACAGGCACATGTGAGCACAGAGTAGGGTGTGTACGGAGGGGGGGTGTGAGCATGGACAGGCACATGTGAGCACGGAGGAGGGGGTGCACAGAGGGGGGGTGTGAGCACGGACAGGCACATGTGAGCACGGAGGAGGGGGTGCACAGAGGGGGGGTGTGAGCACGGACAGGCACATGTGAGCACGGAGGAGGGGGTGCACAGAGGGGGGGTGTGAGCACGGACAGGCACATGTGAGCACGGAGGAGGGGGTGCACAGAGGGGGGGTGTGAGCACGGACAGGCACATGTGAGCACGGAGGAGGGGGTGCACAGAGGGGGGGTGTGAGCACGGACAGGCACATGTGAGCACGGAGGAGGGGGTGCACAGAGGGGGGGTGTGAGCACGGACAGGCACATGTGAGCACGGAGGAGGGGGTGCACAGAGGGGGGGTGTGAGCACGGACAGGCACATGTGAGCACGGAGGAGGGGGTGCACAGAGGGGGGGTGTGAGCACGGACAGGCACATGTGAGCACGGAGGAGGGGGTGCACAGAGGGGGGGTGTGAGCACGGACAGGCACATGTGAGCACGGAGGGGGCGTGTGTACAGAGAGGGGCGTGTGTATGGAGGGGTGTGTGTGTGTACGGAGGGGGATGTGTGAGCACGTAGGGGGGCGTGTGAGCACAGAGGGGCGTGTGAGCACAGGGGGGGTGTGAGCACGGAGGGGGTGGTGTGTGAGCACGGAGGGGGATGTGTGAGCACAGAGGGTCACGTGTGAGCACGGAGGGGGGGGTGTGAGCACAGAGGGGCGTGTGAGCACGGGGGGGGGGCTGTGAGCATGGAGGGGGTGGTGTGTGAGAAGGGAGGGGTGCATGTGTGTACAGAAACACCGAGTGTGAGTGCCGAGAGGTCGCAGTGGCTGTACTGAGTGTGTGTGTTTCTTAAAATGAGCTTCCTTGAATCAGCACATACACTTCTGGAATACATGAGGGGTTGGGGCGGCTAGTGCAGGGGCCAAAGCGGCCGTGACCCTCCCTGACTCTGCCGCTGGCTTCTCAGCATGTCTCTGCCCAGTGCCGACCACCACACAGTGCCAGTCTGGCCCCAGCTGGAAAAACCATTTAAAGGAAAAAGGGTCTCCCTCTGGACAGGAGGGGACAGTCACAAACCCCGTCTGTCCGTGAGGACCGACTGCCTTCTTTCTACCCAGTCTGCTGGGACCGCAGAAACTGTCACCTACTCAGAGCAACGTGGAAGCTGATGTGCACCATGGCAGGGCTGTGAGGGTGCAGGGCCACACGCCTACCTGCTCTGGGGCTGAACACTGAGCAGCTGATTGGACACCGGCCCCTCAGGCGGAGCAGCTGCCGGCAGGTCCTGGGCTCCCAGCTGCCGGGTCTCTCCTGCTGGCACCTGGGGCCTGCCAAGTCCTTCAGGTTCCACCTCTCCGCCAGGCCTCCAGTGAGGTCCACCAGGGCATCCGCCACCTGCCCGGCCCACAGGTGCTCATAGGACCCATAGACCCTAGAGGAACACAGTCCCAAGGGGAGTGAGCCGCAGGCAGGGGCTGGCTCCCCGCGGCCTCCTACTCCAGGGTGACGTCACCCTCAGCTCGATCCTGACTACACCTGGTTGTACCTCCCCATCCCCCCTCCGCCTCCTGCCTTGCAGTGCAGAGAGGGCCTCACCCCCACACGCTGTCACCTGCAACGTCTTGCAAACACCAGTGGTCCCTGCCACGTCCAGCACCTTTCCTGCCTCCAGCGTGGGCACAAGTGTGGGGTGGCAGGCAGTGCAGAGGCCACGATGCCCATGGTCTCATCTCCCACATAAGCCCCACGCTCCCTGAAAGTGGCCTACTGGACAGAGGTCTACTTAGCCCTGGTGCCAACAGCTGGCCTTCCTCAATTCCTCACCTCAAACGCCCACCTACCACCAGCCCCTTCAGCAAGCTGACAAGTGTGTCCTAAAGGCAAGGTGATCAGATACAGCCGCAGTGAGGGCCACAGCCCCTGAGCGGGCCGCGATGAACAGCTACTGTGCACCATGCGGCCTCGCTCTCCCCCAAGTTCAAACCAAGGAGAGGCACGCACACCCTCCTCGTGGGAAGGAAGGCTGCCCCAGACTCCTAACTGAGGACGGGGAGGTGGGCAGACCACAGGCCACAAAGTTGGGCTCCCGTGTCCAGACCACCCTGTGGGACCGAGAAGGCTCAGCAGCTGGAGCCGGCAGAGCTGCGCCCACCCCCGGGGCGGCCGAGGTTGCCCGGCCCCAGCCTCTGCGCACGTACTTGGCACAGGCCTTCTCCAGTAAGGGGAGCCAGAACACATCCTCTCTCTGGCACCGGGAGAAGCAGAGTCTCCCTGCAAGACAAGGCAGACGGTCATCTATGGTCACCTCCACCCAGTGTCCAAACTGCCAAATCCGACAGGTGAAGGAGCCACGGTACGTCTGGTCAGACCAGCTCGGCTGTCCTGGAGGGACGACCTACCACGCACAGGGAGAGGCAAAAGGAGACTGTGAGAGAGGTGCCGCCTGGTGCGCTTCCAGCGTCCAGCCCTCGTGCAACCACAAGGAACCAGCCCACGGGAGCCTGCTTTCTGCACGCCCAGGCCCATGGCGACTCTCAGCCTGGATTCAGAGCTCAGCATCTCAGGGCCACGCTGTGGGACCAGCGTCCCCAAAGCCGAAAGTTGACCGTTACGTCCTTCTGTCCCAAATAAGCATCTGACCTGAATCCTACCACGTGTGACTTCGGGGGCCTGCGTGACTTAACTCTCCGCAGAACTGGCTGCAAATGACACGTGCCCACGGGACAGCAGGCCCACGCTGCCTAGAGGCAGGTGCTAGGGCTCCAGGCACCCGGCAGATGCGCGGTGGTCCTGGCTCTGCCACATAGCAGCAGGGAGTAGCTGCAGCGCCCTCATTTGCAAAAGTAACAAGAGGTCAAAACCGGCATGGCAGTGAGAATGCGAGCAGCGACCGTCACACACGCGGGGGGCTGCGAAGGAAACGCCAGTGGTCACCACTGTCCCTGCTGCTGTGTGACTAGACACATGTGGCAAGAAGCCAAACGGCGAGCGCCCAGGGAAGAGAAATGTGTGTGGCATCTGTCTAGCATCAGAGTCACCTGTAACAGCTTTGCCGACTCACATTCAGACCTGTTTTTAAAGCACGAAGCAGCTAGAAGGAAACAGACTCCACCCCAGGACAGAGCCTGGGCATCCTGGCCTGCCCCAGACTGGCTCCCCCCCCCCCTCTGCCCCAGTGCACGGCTCTGGCTGCATACAGAACCACGGCCAGAGGCTGCTAAGGAGGGCAGAGGTGGCTCCCAGCCCAAGACCGTC